TTCCTAATTTTCCTTACCACTTCATGTCTGCTATAATTCCACAAAGCTCTATTCTCCATTACAGCTCTGTCACTCCATACCAAAGAAGACGCGACACTTGTTTTCATATCCAGGATATGTACGAAAGAAATAATTTGAATAAAGAAGCCACTGATATGAGGCAAAAAAAAATTGTCTGAAAAAAAAAAACTACTTTTGTGATATTATGCTTTAATTTGTAGACTTTGCATACAACCCGTCTAAAAAAAGAAAAAAAAAAATATTGTAATACAATTTTTGGCTACCACAAAAATTTTGGTGGTCGCCTTTTAATAACATGCTCCCTGTGTTACAGTAAAATGCAAACATTGAAAGACGCCATTTGGAGTCCAAATAGGAGGTCCAAGAAGAAGAGACTTTATGAGATTTTTTTTTTTTCAGTAATCTTGGAGGGGGTTGTTAGCTGCAATACTTCTATTCGTTTGGTGTCATAGAACCAATGTTCGCATTGCGTGTGTTATTTTTTTAAAGCCTCGTTTTGCTGCGTTCTAAATAAATGACAATTTCTTTAGTTTTTTTGCAGAGACGGGATCAATGAGAGCCAGAAAAAGCAATGCGGGCATCGATGCCCGCAACTTTCCAAATAGCCAAAAGTTCAATCCACCTCATTTCTTCAACCTATCAAGAAACTGAAAAAGTACTTTTTGTTTTTGCTAAGAAATTATTTTTTTTAAAGTTGAGCCTTTCCGACCATGCTTCGAGGCGCCCGCCCCGTAGGCGACGCGCGCTGGCGTTGGCCAGGGAAGCGTCAACGGTGTGAGACGCCGCCGCAAGGTCTTCAACGCTCTCCTGAAAACACGTTTTATTCAGTTGGACGTTATCCTGACTTCTATCCATCCGTACGTTGGGTAATTTACTCTTAATTTTACTCTACTTCTGTCCAGGTAACTGCCGACGAACGCAGGCCTGAATCGTTCGCTTCCCGAGTTTGAGAATGCGTACTGCGCGTCGGCCAAATCTGTCGTATGTCCAAATATAAAAAAAAAAAAAAAAAAAAAAAAAAAAATTTAGACCGGATAGCTTTTTACCGATGCAATATGCTAACGGGGATGTCGCTTCTCTATTGAACTTGAATGTATTTTGATAGAATATGTGGTGCTACCAAAAGCAGTGTAATGATGGAAAAAACATTCCACTCTTTGCGGCGGAGGCCTCATACCCCTGAGCTCACGTACGCTGTGCAGTATTTTAGACTCCGGAATCCCCTGGAGGCCAACAAAGCGTGTCTGAAATTCAGAGCCCGCTTGTATTTTTAGAGGAAGTGTGTTTGATAAGAGGTGGAAGTTACACGGGTGCCGTCTTCGCCATCTGAGCGTCAGGCTCGGCGGACATTAGATGAGGTCAGAACCGTCATAGTGAGTCGGCTCATTAAAGACATTGCTGATTAACAATGGTTTCATTGCTGATGTTGCAATTCTAGTATTGACGACAACTACTATCAGAGGCTTGAACAATTTACAGGATTTGCGAAATGGTAATAGTTTCTTAGATATTCATCGGTCAGTTTTAGTGTTTTTACTCCCGATTTTAATATTGCGCACGAAAAGATTGCCCCAAGCCCTGCCCACAATGACGCTTAGAAGAGTGACGTAGTTGTTTGCATGACGTCGTCACTTTCTCGGTAGCGCGTCCTTGGTGGATGCGCCAACGAACTTCAATCCGACCTAGCTCTATCAAAATACCTTTCAGTTCAATGGGAAAGCGACATCACTGTTATCATTTTGCATCGGTGAAGGGCTATCCTCTCTGAACTTTCTTTACATTCGGACATGCGACACACGAGGCCGACGCGCAGTACTTTGGCAAAAACATATTTAATTACAAATCCAATATATAATCCATAGAAAAGTATTTAACTAGAATTTACCACGAGAGTATTTGATCATCTTCGAATAATTTTGCAAATATATTTTGTTTTGATATTCTGACATATTTAATTTTAAAATTTAACCCCGCAAAAAAGAAAAAAAAGTAGAAAAAGACCGTGCCCAAATAAAGTCTGAGTGTATACGTATACCAAAAATCAAGTGCTCAAAAATAAAAATTGCAGCTCTAAAAACAAAATTTATTTGTCACAAGATAGGTGGGCAAAACATCACGGAAAACAATGTATTCAGACACATTATGTCGTTAGTGCGGAGTCTTTAAAAAATTAAATCACTAAGCTAAAAAGCTAAGAATTATATTCATCTCGTTCATTCGTTGTTCATCTCTTCCTTCTTTTTCCTTCGATGTTTATTGTGCACAATTCGTGCTAGAAATTTTATGATTTTTGTTTTGTTTGCATATGACTCATCGCGAAGAGTGACAAAAATTGCACTTTGTTGGGAAGAACAGTGCCCAAGGTTGTATTTCGGGCAGTATTTAAAATACAAGCAAGCATTTGAAATGCTAAATTTTCAGTATTTAGACACAAGTGACAAATAGATTCATTCCCTAATATGTATTTAAATACGAAATACAAAATACTTAGTCTTCTAAATACGTATTGCCCCAAATTGTATATTTGGCTGTTTGAAATACTCAACTCTTAGAATGTAAATACAATTCACAAATACATTCCCTAATATGCATTTAAATGTTAAATACAATATACAAAATACTTATAGTATTTTAAACATGTACTTTATACACTTGTATTTTAAATACTGCCCGTTCCTGACGTAAATATAAGAAGTGATACAGTGCAACCTTTAGGACACTTTTGGCAACACTCCCCCTATGGTCGAGCGCTTCCGAATTCGTTGTACTTTAAACCAACAGGGAAGTGATGGCCACGACCATCCACCAAAAACGAGAGGCGGTGTGGGGCCTATCCCGTTATCGATGCACGTCGCATGACTTCGGCAGTACAGGACTTTCTTATCATGGACCTCGGCGCCGTCAGTGCGCTTCAAATTTCGCCACAGAGACGTAGTGCAGGGCCGCCTCACCTCTTGGTACCACCCTCTGCAGGCTGGTTCCCCAGGAAGGAGCTGCGCATGCGCTGCCCATGCGCAGAGCAGCAAGAAGGACGCCAGCAGCAACATGGCACGCGCGCTCGAGTCTGCGAGAAAATAGTTGAACGCACTGGTGAAGGAAGTCTGCTTTTATTGCGCAAATGACGACCTCAAGACACGGAACTAAAGTTTCCTTCAAAAGAGTACTATGGAGACTCCCGATGACTTTGATGATGTTATTATGGCCAAGTCGGTTGTAGATGGTATAATTGCCTAAAGGCGGGTAGTTGGTCCACTCGGCCGCGAAACCGGTCTGGGAGGGGGGACCCGCAAACGTGGAAAACAGCATAGGATCGCGGTGGCGCTGTAGTCGACTTTCCCTCAAAAATATTGTTGGCCGTGAACTTCCAGCGTGTTGCGGTCGCTCCGAGTTCGCGGCCTTTCATTTATTAAGGAACATCCGCTTTTTGACGGTGCTAACATTTCGCACGTACACGATTATGAAGCCTGAGATGGGAATTGAAATGAAGACGGACAAAGTAAACTCAGCTGGGGGTTTATTGACCAGAAAATGCGAGTAGATACACATTCCCGGAAAAGGTTGGAAAAAAAAAACACACACACACAGAAAAGCGTGCTAAAATCCAGAGTGTTTACGGACACTAATCAGGCCGGTTATTCGATCCCCTCCAAGGTTCACCACACCACTTAGACAAAAAATGGGCACGCTAAGGCCCAAAAAGGAAACATCCCCCAAGTATAACAGAGCTATTCCTGCTATTGGCTGAGCCCCCGTAATTTGTTTTTCTTACTGCAATCCGCTTAACATCAAACCAGAAGTCAGGGCAAGGAAGAGAAATAGCTAAACTTTATAAACTAAATAAACTATACCAACGAGTATGTCTCTTGTAAAGCGGGACGCGAACATAAATTGCACGGTTCAATATGGTTGCCAAGGCACTTTCGCAACGCAAACGTGTCTGTTTGTTCTCTACACCAGAAGATCACACCACTTTCCTTTGTGATTCTTTACACAGATTGAGTGATCTGAAAGGTTCGTTTTTCCAGTTTGAGAAAGGAAGTGTTACTCCGGTGTCATATCGTTGGAAGTGGAATGGAAGGACAAGTCGATGGCCGTGCTACAGACCGACTAAACTGGTTATTGTTAGCGGTCCCGAAAGGTACAAAGGCCATCTTTAACTAAAAATTATTAATTGCTGTTTCAAAATGTACTAGAAAAGAAAGGTATTCTGGTAGCATAATGGGAATTACGTACGATTTTGGGTGACGTTGTAATAACTTCCACTTGGAAAGGGATACAGTTTATTTACAACAGGATCGTGCTGGTTTTATGGAAAGCATGCTAGGAAAGTTTGATCTAGACATTGCCCCCACTCAGGACACGTCAAACTAGGTATCAGTCATGCCGATGCACTAAGACATACTTGTACTTATTGTGTCAGAGGTGTACATAGCAATCAAAGGAACGTTTATAACCCTTGATTAACCAATGGCAATATACGTTGCCAAAAAGAATTGAGTTACTACAGGTCATGTGTAAAGGGCAGAACTTTGAAATCCGAACGGCTACGTACGTGCCATTCCCGCGCCTCAAATAACTCCCAATAGATGCGCAAGGTGTCCAGAGAAGTGCGGCGGGCACAACAGAATGATGGCTTCCTCCACAAGGTGCGGCTCACGGTATGTTCCCTTTGTTGTCAATGAAGTTTTTGTATTAAGCCCTTTAATTGTTATCTAACTTACTTCTTTTGCATAAATAGGAATTCCTGACGGTGCATTCTGCATATCTTTGAAGAATAAGAGGGCTGTAGCGTTTGCACAGCGCCTATTGTCTTAACAGCGTCTACAAGCGTTGCCGTTAGGAAATGGTGTTCTATATTCTCGCTCGCCGCATTCACGGTTGCGTGAAGGGGTCTCCTGTGATATATACGTTATAAAACAAGTGTGTCTGGATATGCACATATTAACAATGTTTTCACAAGCATTTTCTTTTTGTGACAGGCGTCACTTGTCTGAAGAAGATATCCCAACTATTCTTTTCGACTGCCCAAGTGGTAGCAATTGTTCCATGTTGGACAACTCGGACGATGACTATGTGGAAGCCCCAGCCAGTCAGGGTTCCTCCGACGAGTATTCATTGGACTTATCCGACACAGATGAATCACAAGTGCAGGAATCAACAACTGTGAAGAACAAGGTAAAAAAGACAAGGCACTGGGTCAGAAAGATTTGCAGCTCAATGAAGGCTTTCAGACAAGTGAAACAATTCCACGGGTGACGGCGGTAGAAGCGAAAACACCCCTGAGTATGTTCACTAAGCTCGTTGATGAGAATTTGATAGAACATATCACGTTTGAAATGAATTGCTTCAGGATCCAGAAAAACAAAACAAAGGTGAGCCCCATCAGAAGCGAGTATATCAGAAAGTTTATTGGGATGATTCTCTACATGTCCGGAGTGTCCTTGACCATCAGTCGCACGTATTGGTCACTGTTGTTGCGCCAGTCAGAGATCGCCAAATGGATGCCCCATAATCGCTTTGATCAAGTGGTTTCTGTGTTCCAAGCCAGCAACAATGATGATGAAAAAAAAAAAACTAAAATCAGGATGGCTATGACAGGCTCTTCAGGATACGTCATATCCTTGATATACTCAATGATAAGTTTCAGCAAGGCGCAGAAATGGAGCTTTGCCTTGCAGTGGACAAGATGATGATACCTTTCAAGTGTAGATACAGCCTGAAGGTTTATATGATGAAAAAGTGGGGTTATAAAGTTTGAACTCTTGCTGGAAGGTCAGGCTATGTCTATAAGATCAAGCTTTACGGCGACAACCTTGTTGTTCACCCAGAAGACATTGAAAACGACATTGGTGGAAGTGGAAAGATTGTAGAGCGACTAACTGATCGCTGAAAGGAAAAGAGATCTTCTGTGACAACTTCTTTGCCTCAGTTGAACTTCTAACTGAAATGAAGCTCTGCGGGCTGGGATGCACTGTCATTCTGAGGAATTGGAGGATGGGGCGTTGGCCACTGAAGAACAAAAAGTGATTGTAGTCCGAAGGCCGAGGTGTTTTTGACTTCCGTTTAGAGAAGGACAGTGGCATTGTAATCTGCTAATGGTATGACAACAGAGGAGTCATCATGAGATCCAACACGCACAGCGTGAATCTCGTGGGATCCTGCAGACGCTACGAGAGGAAAACCAAGACGTTCAAAAAAGTACCTAGACCGAGCTTGGTCAAAGTCTACAACAGGCGTATGGGTGGTGTAGACCGAGCGGATCAGCTCCTTTCATTCTACCGAAACGAACTCAAGAGCAAGAAATGTCACAAGAGGATCATTTTTCACCTGCTTGATGTTGCAGTTGTAAACAGCTGGTTACCCTACCGCGCTGTAAAGGGCTCCCAGCTGCAGCTTGCACGGTTCAAGCTGCAAGTTGCAGTCGGCTTGATGAAGGCAGAAGATGCTACTGAAGCAGACCTCGAAGGCTGTCGGTTCAACACCCTGTCGAGCCAAGCCTCTGACATTCCAGATTCGGTGAGATACGGTGGTGTCATCCATGTCCCGATCAAGGTCCCGCAAAAGAGTGCGCCGCGGTGCAAGCAGCCAACATGCAACCGACGTAACAGGATAAATTGCAGGAAATGCAGGGCATATCTTTGTATTGAAGAAGATGGACCATCCAAATGTTTTCAACAATTTCACAGGGAGTGACCTGGTATTCCTGGCGTACACATATGTGTAAATCACTTTTAGTCAAGAAAAAAACCTTGTTCAGACCTGCCCTGTTTTTTCTGCCTTATTTATTGCCCTTAAAATAAAACCACGATGTAAGATTTGTATTTGTGCAAGTGGTAACATTATGGGAAACAAAGGGATAATGCCAGCTCGCTACAGCTTGAAGCTCAAATACAAAAGTCTGCAAATTGTTTCAGAATTAAATCTCGTGCTTCCTTGGCTTTCTGGTTTCTCGCGTCTAAAAAAAAAAAAAAAAAAAAAAAAAAAAGCTTTTGTTGCAAAGACGTTTCTGAGCACTGTTTATAAATCGGACTCCCAGAGGAGTTAGATTACGCCGTTTTACTTCGAACAGAAACAGGGATGAAAACAAAAATGTAAAGTTCCTTCACCGGACTACATTCCGGATTTCTCTACAAGATTCCGTTTGTTAGTCAGTGCTGCGTGGTCCCGAGATCTTCATGTGTTATGACCGTCAGACGGAACAAAAACGGGAATGTTAGAAATTAGCCCCTCAGTCCCGAACTTGCGGATCAAGGTATTTGGCACTGCCCTCTTTGGAAGAAAAAACTCCAACTTTCTGCTAGCCTTTTTTTTCGATATTTGTTTTATTGTTTTTACTTCTAGATTTACAAGGGGCATAAAATTAATTTTGGGCTAGAATAAATGATTTTACATTAGTACTTCACTAATGCGCACCGTTTAGTGGGCCAAAAGAAAGAGGGTAGAAAGTCAAAAGCCAGCTTTTCGGTACGAACATTTAAAGATATCGCGACAATTTCGTACATTCTCTCCTTCTAAAGCACTCCGCTATTTCACTACGATACATCCGCTGTACCCAAAGCACGTCAGCCGACCCCAGCTCACGCATTGGACACGAGAACTGACTGTGTGCTTTGGACATATGCGCTCGTCAACAATCAATTCGTCAACAAATACTTGGATTCGCGTTCGTGGCCAATGAGTGCCTTGACAGAACTTATCATCACTTGAAAAAGACAAGTTATCTGGTGCGCTTAAAAAGCACGGTGAAAGCTTGGAGTCATTGCACTGGTGCCCAAGCATGTCACGACCACGTGATTTCTCAATTCGCTTTTAAGTTGAGGATTGAAGCATGAGGAAGAAGATGGAAAATTATTTCATGACTTCTTTCAGCGGATTACAATAAGAACTATGCAAACGGGGTGCGGATTTCGTGAGTGGGTTGCTCTGTTCATTTTTGAGGATGTCACCTTCAGCTCGGTCATTGGCTGGTAATTTCCTGTCTCAACTGCACTCTAGCGTGATTGCGCTCGTAAAGGCGAAAGGTGCTACCGCGACACTTAATCAATTAGAGAACCACAAGCAGCATTAAATCACAGTATAATGGGGAGTTTTATGATACTCTTCAATACGATTTCGGAAATATTATTTTTAAAGCAATATAATTAAGACGGTGGCCGTCGGACAGAGTTTCCCGTTAGTCAATGGAGCGGTGCCGGCGGGGCCGGAGGGCCTCAGGGGAAGGCCGGCTTTCGCACCCTCTACTAACATCTACAGAAAGAGTAAGCTCTCCGAACGGCATGTGCACTCACTGTTCCACTCTAGAACGTTCTATGGATGGGGAGTAAATGACTTTATGTACAGGGAACGGAAACATACAGTAAAATTTTCGCACCAAGAAGGGAACTTTTTCGACTCTCCGCGGCGGTGATGCGTATACCCACCTAGCTTCAGACAAGAACGTTGCTGCTGATGCAACACAACTGTTAAATAGCCCAGCATTCGGGCAGCTGTCTGTTTAGAAACAAATACCTATAGAAAACAACGATTGATGCTGACATTATTTTCTTCACACACGCTGGCGCCATGACCCTGGAATTGCATTTCATTAGAGCGAAGGTTTTGCGGGATTTTCGAGTTCAAATGTGCGTAGTACCTATGATCGTTTATAACGTTGACAAAAATTTTTCGAGCCTAGAAAAAAAGGGTGATGCGCGAGAGAAATAGAAAATATAAGAGACTGCCAAGTTTCCACTGCTACCCAAAAGATGGCGCCAGTGTATCCACTCGTAGTAAGATATTTTAAGAGGTTCCAAGGCACTCGGTCTTGAGAAGTCGCAAGTGTGTGAACGGGGCAAGGTGTTTGGTTCTAAAGACTCCCAAGTGTGTGAACGGGCCTCTACGCCACGTCTAAAGTTCTGATTCCGTGCCACACAAATGTGCATTAGTACCGTGTGCAAACATAAACGAGACACCCCGCTTCTACGGTGCTGGTAGGCATGGGAGAGCAATACACTCTAAAAACAAATCTGGTTGTAAAAGAACTCTTTGGGATTCCTCGGCTTGACCATGTTTTGCGCCCTAGGAAGTTATTTTAAGCACGCCCGAAAAGGGCTTTTCGTGAAAAACCTAAGCTCCTTTTTTTTATGCGAACAAGTTCTTCATCGCCCAGTTGCACTTCTATAGGTACGCCAGGGGGCAATAGTGCTTGACGCAAAACTATTCTTTGCGAGCTGAAAGAGTTCTTGGGACGTCGAAGAACCTTTCAAGGGCAGATTTTTTTAGAGTGTATGATACACTTGAATCTAAACGGTGCTTTTGTTTCCCACGGTTTTGCAAAAACATTCCTGACACCCGAAAAAAAAAAAAAAGAACTAAACCAAAAGCGGTTGCGTTGAACCTTACAGTGACTTATTACTATTACATTTGCCCTTTCAGAAAGTCATTCCTTACTTCACACTAATTGCTTTTCTTTGAGATATATTTGACTGTAATAAAGCTGACGTGAAGCGATTTTTCCGCACTGAAATTACTTTGTTCATTTCAATGTTGAGAATTCATTACGCGGCATTTTATATTCGTCACGTTTCGTGCATTTCTTTCGCCAATATTATAATTCGGCTGAAGTAATACCGAGTTCCAAGAATAATATAAGTCAGTTGTAAATTTTACACCACCACTAACATTTTGAGCGTTCCTTGTATCAGAGAGAAAAAGTGTTCCAATAGTGATATGGTATGATATGATTATTTCAGCTCAGGGGAGCTGCGGCGCCGCAGAAAGTCAAATCGCCCACACCTTGAAGGCCTGTGGCGTCGCTTCTAATGATGATGAAACAGTATCGTACGAATGAATCGTGTGGATGATGACGATAATAATTAGCCGATGAAAAGCGTTTGCTTTTCATCGGCTAAGTGTTTGCTTAGGCACTGACAAAAACAAATTAGACGTACTTTTAATTTCTGTATTGCATTACTCTTGAAATAACCATAAACTTGTAGTCAGACATTCAATGTACACGCCACAACCAAATTAATTTTATTTTTATCTCCATTTTTACAATGAATAATGTCGCACCTTATCATACGCCTGGACCCTTCAGCATATTTTGGGGCTTTTCCACCACGCAGTTTCTCAGCTGTGCCTACACGGTCAATGCTCAAATGCGGTTTTCGCACTTCCAAAAAAAAGCCCAACAAGCCGGCAACAAAGCAATAAAACAAACACTCAGAATTTTCTTTTTTTTTTTCTCTGTTAGGAGTGTTGGGAAGTACAGCGAGTTCCCGGAGGAGAAACGAAACCGTTCTTTTCGGTCTAAGTAAATAAATTATGCCTCGCAGAAAGCTCGAACTTCGTGAGAACGTGCAGTTAGCGATCGGGAGGGAACGCGAAAGTTTGAGAACATGACGTTACCTGGATCAAAAGATAATTGGGAAAAACGAAATTTCTCTATGAGCACGCGTTCACCTAAGCCTAATATCATAAAAACAAGAAATTACAATGTGGGCGCCTGTAGCACCTGTTTCAATGGAACCTGTCAACAAAAGAAAAAACAATATGTTCTTTCTTTCTGACAAGTGTTTTTCACTTATATAAATCCCAAGAGCGTTCACAATACTGTTTTGGCGATATTAGGCTTAGGAATTAGGTGGACGTCAGCTCATCAAGAAATTTCGTTTTTCTCAATTATCTCTTGGTCCAGGCAACGTCATGTTCTCAAACTTTTGCGTTCTATCCCAACCGTCAGCTCCACGTTCTCACGGAGTTCGAGCTTTTTGCGATGCCTAGTTTATCCACCCGTGCCGAAAAACCTAGCTCTCTTTCGGAAACTTCCTATATTTTAAGTACAGTGTACTTAAAACTTATTGCTTCAAATATATTTAGAAAATTTGTACTTCACTTGAAGTACATTCTCTGAGTATGTACTTGTAATATACTTAAAGTACTTTTGTACTTTCTGAGAAAAGTACAACTCCCGATTTCACAATACATTCACAAATGTGGTCTTGTTAAATTTTTATCTCAAGGTGATGTTCTGTCAACTTTTAGAAGATATACTGGGAGGGATATTCTACTCTCACCAAAAACGCGAGCAAAGGACGCATCGCTCCGTTTGCACGGAGCGGCTTGGTGAAATTAAGCTCTTTCGTGGACCACGTGCTCGCATCCTTGGCTTTCCCAATACTATGCACAACTTCTGAGCCCGAGCGTAAAAGTTCACCAACCTCGAGAACTGGGCAATTGACCGATTAACCTACAAATTAATCAATTAATGCTTCAATCGCTTTTTAACTGTTTTTTTAACTGTTTTTAACTGTTCTCAACTATGGATTGAAGTTGATTCATAATTGAAATTATTCCGCCGCTTAGCACATATTTAGCGAACGAAAAGAAATATATGTAATTTCTACTTTTAAAAATATTATTATTTACCGATTAATCGATTAATTAATCGATTAAAGGCTGGCAATTATTCGGGTTAAAATTTTTAATTGACGCCCAGCCCTACCAACCTCTAACACAAAAATGTGAAAACGTAGTATCGGCTTTCGAAACGTCATCTGGTCATTTCTGTGAGTGAAGTAATGGTGGTTATAAGACCTATATAAATAAGTGCCTTTTAGGTTGATTGTATCAAATAGTTAGTCACTCGACTTGGCCACTTGGCTATCCAATATTTTCCGCCATTTGCGAAAATAATTGATGCACCTTCGATTACCCCAAGCCCTGGGGCAATGCATACCAGTT